AAACCCACAATTTCACATCGGCAAACACTGTCTTCATCCACTTGACTCCCAAGACCCGCCCACACGTGGCCAACCTTTTTCGTTTTTAATGCTTTTTCACTGCAGGTTCATGTGTTGAGACCAACCTTATATGGACTGATCAGCCTGGTAATGGCTTATTTCCCCCTAACACCCAGCAGTAGCGCAATATCCATGAGCTAGATATACCACTTCAGTCACTTTGGCATTCTTCCTGGACTTACAGAACTGATTTCTCCCTACTTTTTTCCTCCAAGCAACGGTTACCGATCGAGCCTCATGCGTCGACTTCAGTTTACTTCGCGCTGAAACGGCACCGATCCTATATTCATTAAATCATCTGTGTTTTGTGTTTTTATACAGAGGATTGCCAAACTGGTGCAGCAACTTCACTGCATCAAATGCCCCAGAACATGTCGTTGACCAACACAAAGACGGGCTTTTCAGTAAAGGACATTTTGGACCTCCCTGATACTAACGATGAAGACGGATCGATCACCGGGACTGAGGAAGATACGGAGGGTTCTGAGGCGACTAAAACGCCTGGAGTGCTAGTGCAAAGTCCTTTAGAGAATGTTCAAAACCTGCCTTTAAAGAATCCGTTTTATGATAATAGCGACAATCCTTATACCAGATGGCTCGCAACTACGGACAGCATCCAATACTCAAGTAAGTAGCAAGAATTCACACACGTTGAACAAGTTGAATTCACAAGTCGATTATAAATAAAAAAAAAAACACTATTATTTACTCGGCTGAAACCATTTTACAAAATCACTGTTTTTGATAGCCTACTGTCGTAGACATCTGTAGATTTCTACTGTTGCGCTTGTCTAAAGGCGTAGCCTATTATGTGCTTCTGGATTGTGGTCATAACTGCCATTAAATTAGTTATCAGCACTACATTTTTTTGTTTCAGAAATCCTGTTTAAATTTCCCAGACAGTTTCTGGGAGCTTTACTGACTGATACAAGTTGAATTCACAAGTCGATTATAAAAAAATTAAAAAAAACACTATTATTTACTCGGCTGAAACCATTTTACAAAATCACTGTTTTTGATAGCCTACTGTCGTAGACATCTGTAGATTTCCACTGTTGCGCTTGTCTAAAGGCGTAGCCTATTATGTGCTTCTGGATTGTGGTCATAACTGCCATTAAATTAGTTATCAGCACTACATTTTTTTGTTTCAGAAATTCTGTTTAAATTTCCCAGACAGTTTCTGGGAGCTTTACTGACTGATAGTTTTCGCTTACATTTTCCTCTTTGTTAATCAGTAACTGTTGAATCGGCTATACGGCAAAATCATCGTTTTGTTTGGGTCACACGCCCCGTGATAATAAGGGCCTATTAAAATGAAAAGCATCTTCATGTTATGAACAGATCTGCAATAACAGATTGCTGTATTTATTTGTCCGCGTGACCTACTTTAATGTTCTTTGGCAAATATTTGTTCGTTGGTATAACTGAAGATAGCCTAAATACAAAGAAATGTCACGTGTACACACTTTCTTGCGATTTACAATTGCATTTTATTTGATGTGGTATTAAATGTAGTATTTTTTCCCTATCCTTTCCTTTTTTTTTTTGAACCAGTACACGGCCTATCCGCAAACTCTCAAGACTCGTCTGCAAAATCCCCGGAACCTTCAGCGGACGAGTCGCCGGACAACGAAAAGGAAAGTTCGAGCAACGGCAGCGACTCCGGTAAGAAGCGCAAAAGGAGGGTGCTCTTTTCCAAGGCACAAACTTACGAACTCGAGCGCCGGTTTAGGCAACAGAGGTATCTGTCAGCACCGGAGAGGGAGCATCTCGCCAGCTTGATCCGCCTGACTCCAACCCAAGTGAAAATCTGGTTCCAGAACCATCGATACAAAATGAAGAGAGCCAGGGCGGAGAAAGGTATGGAAGTGACCCATCTCCCTTCTCCTAGGCGGGTGGCCGTGCCTGTGTTAGTCAGAGATGGCAAGCCCTGCCATACGCTAAAAGCTCAGGACTTGGCAGCTACTTTTCAGGCTGGAATTCCGTTCTCCGCGTATAGCGCCCAGTCTCTCCAGCACATGCAATATAACGCGCATTACAGCGCCGCCACCACACCACACTTCCCAACAGCACATCACTTGGTGCAAACGCAACAGTGGGCTTGGTGAACAAATACTGACTTGCAAATGCAGGGCTGCATTTTAAAGACCGTGGTAGGGAGCTTTCCAAACAAAAATACAAGACTTTTTATTTTTGCAGCTTGACCCTTTCTCACCCATTTATTTTGGGGATTGACGTGTGCGCCATGTTTACATGTTTTCGTTCAGAAAACCGGGTCAAGCCTCTCCCCAAATTTAAGAATGTTAAAGCTCTTGTGAAATTTTGTAAAGTATGTTTGTGTGTTGTAGAAATGTTTTCCTTTTGTCCTTCGTGTTATAAGCACGTGCAAAACCACTTTATGATTATAGAAAATTGTATTTCTTTCTTTTACAATGGACCGAATATATTTATGGCCATGAATAAACATTGGCAATCTTTAGCTTATTACATTGGTTTGTTTTCTATGTAAATATTTTGTGATAACTGTTTGCAATATTATGTTTGACCGTCCAGTAAGCTATATTTAGGGAAAATGGAAAATCAGTTGTCGATAAATATCCCTCATGTTAATTTCAGTAACACCGCGCGCTGGCGAGGGAGGTCTGCAATTCTTTTTATCAAGACTTTTAATAAAATGATGTGTTTCAGAAATTCCGATTTGTTTTGCGTTTGGTCTCAGTGATTTCGGACACATTTGTGCAAAATATGGATCGTTTCTTCGCCATCTCCCATTAATACAAATACTTCATAATAAACTAATAGAACGAATAAATACAAATGATATAAATATGCTAATTTATAAAGCCTTTGTGTTTGCACAAATGTTGCTTTGGACAGCTTGTCGCTCTCCCTGTCACTTCATCAGCAACACAATTGGCTTCATTTTTCCGAATTTATCTGTACGAACACTTCAGCAATAAGAAGGCTAAAGTCACTTGTGAAATGGGGGTAAAAATCCACTCACTTAATATAAGAGGGCTTCTTCAGCTAAGCAGCTTTTCATTCAAACGCTCTCTCCTTTTCAGGCTCCGCGGCTGACATTTCGGGTGTTAAAACGGCACATTTAGAGAAAACACACGTGACAAAGTTTTGTTAGCTTAATATTATGTAATTGTACTATTTACAATGCAATTATAGAATATTTTATTGGCAACTAAACAAATTGTGTTGTTACGCTTTGCCACGCTGTCTAGGCTATCAAAGAAGTTATTTGCTTGAATTGATATGCACCGTGGCCGCATACGAGTCAGAATTTTTCATTTATTATTATTATAATTGTTTATTTTTTTTACACATCGGATGTCAGCTAAGAAATAAAAGTCAAAATTACTATGTGTGTTTTTTTTTGTTTTTTTTTTAAATAGGCAAGAACAACAGCTCTCTTTAGTTCCTTTCCCGGTGAGGATGATCGTATATTAGTGTCTTGGGTCAATACCATGGCTCAGTGCAAAATCCGAAATGGTTGGTTTTTCAAATATATTTTACAGCAGATGCGAGGGTAAACTTGGCTTTCATTAAATAGAAACGCTGTGCTAATTATTTACAGAATTAATCTTAAGCGACTCGATCATTTCCCCTTATGCTTTCTACAGTTGGTTTGATTGTGACTTTTTGATATTTTGTTTTATTTATTAATTTATGTTTTTAACGAATTCCATATAATATTTGACTAATATTTTCGATAGTTCTTGCAAAACCGCTATTGTTTGGTAAGGAGAAGGCGGTGGGAAAATGACAGAATTGTACTTGCACCTGTTGTCGACTATAAGAAGTAATTTGTGACGGTATATTTACCGCTTCTTCAGTGTACCATTTCAGAGAAAGACAAAAAAAACGTTTCCAAAGTTTTACCACTGCTTTTTTCTTTCCGATTAGTTTTCCGTCTGTGATTGTGCAGCAAAACTGCGCTCAGAAGAAAAAGGGAAAAAAAAAAAA